TTTTTTAGCTGTCAAATCAAATAGGTTACAGTTGCAAAGTTACGCCAGGTGGCATCATCGACAGCAACTCAATCTCCTGCTGAGTTCTGCATCGGGTTTCTGTATTCGAGCAAGAAAGGGAAAAAAAAAAAATCAAAAAGTGAGATAAGATCATTCAACGGATGCTCTTTACGCATTAGAAGCATAAACGAAATAGAGAATTTTAGACAAATACCAATAAGTAAATGTAAAGATTATCAACGCAAATCCAAACTATGGAACATTATCATGGCATGACATGAAACATGACACAAAAGGCACGAAACAAAAAAAAATTGGTTACATTTAGACTTTAGTATCATTCTTATGATTACCTATAAATAGCAAGAGAACATAATAGTGAAACACGAGTACAACATTAAAGCACAATTTGCCACCAAGAAAAAAATAAAACATCGCCCAAGCTTCAACTAAAAAACCAACTGATGACTAACTGTATCAAGTAATTTGTTGATCATGTAAATTTCTCTGCTTCGACAGAGAGACTTGCTATTTTGGGGGTAATGTTCACAGGTGAAATATATATATAGGACTTGAAAGTTGAAACTCAAGAGACTAAACAAGTAACAATTCAAGGGACACCCACTGAACCATATCCCTCAAAGCCAAATTCATCAATTCATCTGAAAATCCACGACAAAACAATTTACTGCTTTCGAGATTCTTACCAATCCAAGATCCGATTTTGAGCATTAATCCTATTATAAAACTGAGTTAACCTTCTTCTACCAGCTGGCTTCGGCCTGACGGTTTTTTTCCGCAGACCAAATATCTCCTGCACCAAAGGCACATGAACAAGCACCAGCTTCCATGCCAAGAACCACACTACGCGAATCAAACCAAACACAAGCCGAGAAAATAATGTTAAGAACAAGAGATTGGAGAAAAGCGCATAAGGTCCCAAATAACAAAAACTTCCAAGATTCAATTTTTATATACAGAGCCAAGCCACATAAAAACCCACCAATTGAGGAAGAAATCTACTCATCTGCAAGTTAATTCAGAAACCCACATTACACGTAGCTAAAGGGTTCGTGCCAATTTTGTTCACTTCCGAACAAAAGAGGAAAATTTGAAGAGCAATATACCCCAAAAATTAGACCTAATTTTCGATATCACGGACTAAGAGCCACACAGTAAATAGCCACTTTAGCAGGTGAAATTCCACCACAAACACGCAATAATCGACTCAAACACAGCCATATACATCGAGAGAGAGAGAGAGAGAGAGAGAGAGAGAGAGAGAGACGGGGGCTCACCGAAGAAGATGACGGAGAGACTAAAGACAACGGCGATTATCGGACGGAGAAGAAGAAAAACAACGTGATCCCAATGGTAGGTGTAAACTGGGTCGCCGGAAAAATATTCCATATCTGTAAATCCCGCCGGTGAATGGGTTGTTGGAAATTTTGAAACTCTCTTTTAACAGGGAAATTTTGAAACTCGCGAAACAAACCAGGTTTGGGTTTTACGGACGAGAGATCCGAACCGGACAAAATATTAGATTCGGGATAATCTTTCCCTATATATTAATTCAAAACGTGTTGAGTTTAGGTGGCAGATTCTCACGCTTCGGACGAAACTCAATGCTTCCTGATGTGATGTTGTTTTTATATTATTTTTGGTCTGGAGTTAGGTTTAGTATTAGACAGAAATAACTTTACACATATATTTATTAACTCAACACGCATGTTGTATTAGTACTAGTTAATGTTTATAAATTCGTTGTTTTATTTTGTGTTTCCTTTTTTTTTTTGGGATATGTATGAAAAATCGGACATTCCTCCTTCATAAATTGTGTATAAATATAGAGTTTTCGAAGCAAATCAACTTCTGGGTGATTGGTAAAATTTTGTGTTTTTTTATTATTCCATATATAGATTTAGATTTTTATCTATTAATATTTTTAAAAGTATAAAAAATTTTGTGAAACTTAAATCACAAATATGTTTCTAAGTTTTATAAATTTTTATTTGTTATCGACTTTTATACAAAATACATCTGATGTATAATCATCTAACGATTTTTAATTTGACAACCACATTACAAATATAAAATAAGAAATTATGTATATCTTTATAAATATAAATAGTTATAAATAATAATATAACTTTAAACAAATAACTAAAAATAAACAATAAATTTTTTTAATGTTATTAATTAAGTTATTTTTTTATATACTGTCTTTAGTTGACGCATGTGTATTATGCGGGTGTTATACCGCTACAAGTATGAATAATATACATATATTTTCAGGTATATTTTTTTAAATACTATGTAATTTTCATGTCATAGTTGAAATATAAATAGTTTTTCTCGTCATTTAGGTTGTAAGTTTTTACACCATAATTGGACAGACTTTTAAATGCCAAAAGGATTTAATTCTTGAAAAAAATTATACAAAACCTAGCAGACTTTTCTTTCTTTTTTTTTTTT